ACCAGGCAGGGAGTCTGGGTGCCGTGAGTGTGCGTCTTGCTCATTCCCTGCTTTGTCTTGGTGCAGGGTGGCTGTGCTGGCCATAGGTGACCATGTCCCCTGCCATGTGAGCCTCTTCAGTTTAGTGTCCCACCCCCTCTAGGGCACGTCAGGAAACCATGCCGTCATCAGGACACCGGCTCCGGGATGTTGAGCATCATCCTCTCCTGGCTGAAAATGACAATTACGACTCCTCCTCCTCCTCGTCCTCCGAGGCCGACTCGGCAGACCGGGTGTGGTTCATCCGCGATGGCTGCGGTATGATCTGCGCTGTCCTGACGTGGCTTCTGGTCGTTTATGCGGATTTCGTGGTGACCTTCGTTATGCTGCTGCCTTCCAAAGACTTCTGGTACTCGGTGGTCAATGGGGTTGTCTTCAACTGCCTGGCTGTGCTCGCCCTGTCATCTCACCTGAGGACCATGCTCACCGACCCTGTGAGTACTGCCCGTACCGCCCACAAGCTGGAGGGCCCCCTGCACATGGGGCCTTGGGTTGTTACGAGTTCCTGGGTACAGGCTGGTAGCATTTTTCATGGCTTAACTGGAGAGCAAACATCGCCCGCGTAGAAGTGATAGCACAGTCTGTTCATGGAAAACACTCCCACTGGGCTGTTTATTCAGATGAAGAAATTGTACTCAGTAATTTCTAAAATCCCTTCTAGTTTAAGTATTTTGTTTCTCTGAAGAATGGCCTGGAAGCTGAGCTATCTGGCCTGTAGATTTCACTGCTTTACTCCCTTTTCCAGTTGTCTTCAGACTACAAGCAACTGACTTCTTGAGGCTAAAGGTTAGCTGTTATCTCTAAGTTCCTTCCAGCTTTGTAATCCTCTTATTTTCATGTCCCAGCCAAAATCTGAAGCAAACACCTCATTCTTGCTGGTAAAAGGCCAAGGTTCACACTTGGCAGGGAGGAACAACCCACTAATCACTGGTGCCATCAGGGTGGGTGTGACTTTGGAAGAAGTGATTGCTTCAGAGAGGTCAGGTGCGGGGGTGGTGTGGGGACTGACACAGGTGTGTGAAAACAGAGCAGCGCCCCTGAGATAAAGAAGGGCCAGGTTTAGCCATGAGCTACCTGAGTTCCTGGTGTCCTGAAGGCCACTGGGTTCAGACCCTTCACATGAGGTTTAAGACCGCTGCTCCGAGGTTTTGAGACGTCCTCTGGGTAGGGCAGATGCAGATAGTGGATTCCAGGCTCGCCCCAGGGCCTGGAGGAGATGCCAGGGTTGAGAGGTGTTGCCTCATGTGGAGGGCTGCCCTGAGGCACAGTGACAAGGATCCCACTATCAGTGGAGCTGAGCGTGGTCAGGTCTCAGCGGTCCATGTGGGGTTTCATTTGAAAAGATTCTTCCCACAGAGTTGAGTGGTTTTAAACCACTGCTGCAGAGGCTCCTGATTCGTAAATTAAAGTCTGCTACGTTCATGTCTATTGGTAGCTTTCTCTAAATAGGTACCAAGAGGTTATAAGGATTAGGGCTCGGAAAGAATGCTGATGGTGATCGGTCCGCGGACCATGGTGGATGCACTGATCTGACTTGTGCTGCATCCGAGCTTCTCTCTCAGGGTACTGCCCTCGTCACCTTGTTTGCCTCATAGACAGCCTGGGCCTGGGCCAGTGTCGGGCCCAACCACGTGGGCAGCTGTCGCAGTCCTTTTATATTCTTTCTTGTTTGAATCAGGATCCAAGTAAGACCTGTACTTTGTGACTGCTTGTGTCTCATCTCACTCTTCTTTGTGCCCCCATCCCCCTTTTCTTGGGTTTTTTAAGTTGAAGAAACACGGCCTTTTGTCTTGTAGCTTCCTCCCACTCTGGGGTTTTCAGCTTACATCTCTGGGTTTTTACATGCTTCTGGTCCCGCATTGTCCGTAAACTGGTAGGTGGACCTAGGGAAGGCTGCGGGCTCCATGGCCCTTAGACCCTGGGGGTCCAGCGTGCATGACGGGGAACCAGGGGTCCAGATGGGAAGACATGGAAGTAAAACAGGAAAAGAAAGTATGCTTTGCAGAGCAGAACTTCCCGGAATGTATGACATGGTGGGGAGCACTTTTCCTGAGCATGACATTATTTCTTCCTCCGTGCTGGGTCAGAGTGGGGGTGTAAGAGGTTGGCACAAGGAGAGCCGCAAGAAATCAGGGAGCCGTCAGGACTGTGCGCACAGGGGGAGCGGTCAGACTGTTCTGGGGTAGGCAGCCCCTGGGCTGCCTGCCCAGGGGTCTGAGCCATGGAAAATACCAGAAAACACCTTCCCCTCCACACAGGCTCGTCTTGTCACCTGATGTGTCTCCCCTTTGATATGCAAACTTGTCCTCCGGCAGCAGTCCGTAGGAGAGCTCAGTAACAAGGGGGGCGTGGAGGGCGTGCCCCCCACAAGCGTGTCATACACGTGTTTTACTGTGGAAAAGCATGTGCGGGTCTAGAAGAACGAAGGTGTGTGTAGTTTTTAAACCTGGTCCATTTCTCCTGTCATGGACCGTGTAACGCTGAACTGTCAGCAGGCGTGGATGTACAGCTTATGGGGTTTTATAGAATTGTAATGCATCACAGGGCTGGGGCTCCTGGCTTGTGGAGGAAACAGGAAAGAGCCCAGAGGGTGTCGCATAAATGAGTCAGATGTTGTACCTGACATTCTGATGTAAATTTTCAAAAATAAGCGTATAAGCCCTTCACTATTTTTACCTTCTTTAAGGAGACAGTTGGAGTGTTAGGAAACGCTAGTATCTTGACCAGAACAGCTTCCTGGTGTTAGGACGATGGATGACTGTGCTGTGTAAGGGAGACCAGCTGCGCTGGAGGGCTGGGCAGTGGATGGCCCCTCCCCAGGGCACCTTACAGGGTCTCACTTCCTGCTGGTGGGAGGGCTGTGTGTCTGGCTCCCTGGGGGCCTTGGAGCCAGGGGTCCTTGGTCCATCAGGCTCTAAGGAGCTCCAGTGCTGAGTCCTTTTCTGTCCCACCCTCTTCCCATCTGCCACCTCTCACCCTTCCATCTCTTCCTGCCTTCATTGTCACTGCAGCGCCGCAGTGCTGTCCCCAGGGGGCTGAGAAACAGGGTTCAGACCTTGTTCCCTACCTACCACATCCGCCCTGGTCTGTCAGTCCACCCAGAATGGTCTTCCAAACCATCCCCACTGCCCAAAGAAAATGGCCCCGTCATAGCTGGCTCGGGCTGCCTGCCCATCCAGGGCACGCGGATCCCGTTTCCCCTCACCCCCCCCCACCCCCCGTCTCCAGCTTCCCTTGCGCCTGGGACTCATGCACATGGCCCCACTGCTGCTCCTCCCCTCCCCGGTCCAGTCAGGGGCTCAGGGCCTTGCTCTCCAGGCTTGTGTGTGACCACTCCAGATTAGCTTGGCAGAAATGGCTGATGCATTGCATAACTTTAAAATCATAAAAGATAAAGTCCTTTTTGAGATTGCTTTGTTCAGTGTTCCCTGCCACAGCTGACAGGGGAACTGGGAGTGCTTATCAGGGAAACTGGTGTCAACAGGACAGACCACACCCTTGGGTTGGAGGGCTCAGCAAACACCTCGCCTCTGCTGTGTCTTGCAAAGAGTTAGAGAAATCCTGGTGACTTGCCAGTTTGTGAAGGATACCACACTATTTATTTTGACTGCATTTTAATGCAAATGTTATTTTTCATGGAAAATAAAACTTCTGGTCCTGGCTGAGTGACACGGTTAGTTTTCATATTAATATACTTTACATGGCAACTACAGCATTATAAATTATGTTATCATATATAAAACCTAAGACTTAATTCCTACAGTTACTGATTTTTTTTTTTTAACCTTTCGTCCCAGCTAAAATACGTTCTTATTAAACCGTAGGGGGCAGTACCCAAAGGAAATGCTACTAAAGAATACATGGAGAGTTTGCAGCTGAAGCCTGGAGAGGTGATCTACAAGTGTCCAAAGTGCTGCTGCATCAAGCCCGAGCGCGCCCACCACTGCAGGTACTGTGGCCCTGTTGCAGAAAAATGTTACAGCTCAGTGTTAAAGTTCGGCGTTACAGCTCGGTTGTGACAGCAACCTGGATCCAGGCAAGAGAACAAGCAGCACTCGGAGAATTGGAGAACTCAGGTTTATTACGCCAGCGGGCCCAGAGGAGTTAACACTCCAAGCTCTGGACCTTGTCTGT